CTGGAAAGGGAGGAAGGCCTGGCCTGCGGTAAAAGTCAAATAATGATGTCGACAGTAAGAGTAGCTTGAAGCGATCGTGAAGGTTTTCGGGCAGAGACTCAGGGACCCCGAACTCTTGCCCTGCTGTTCACTCGCTCCAGAAGGGCGAGCTGTGTGCTCAAAGCTGGAGTCAAAATGTTCACAGGGACGCAGCCCCTGGTGACTCAGACTCAGGGCTCCTGGGAAGAGGCCGGGCTGGAGCCCGAGCCCAGGGGCAGCTGTGGCACGGAGGCTGCGGGCCCAGGCTGCTGGTGTGAGTGTCAGGTCCACTGTTGACTAGCTCTGGGACCTTGGGCCGTGGATTTAACTTGTTTCTACGTTGGCATTATAATTTGTAAGATATAGACTAAGACAGTGCCCACTTTATAGTGGTATTGTGGGAAGTAAATGGATAAATACTTATAAAGCCCTTGGAACCATCTCTGGTGCTTTGTAGCTAACATGTGTGAGCGTGGTAGGGGTGATGATGGTGATGGTTGGTGGTGGTGACCATGGTGATGGTGATGATAGTGATAATGATGAAATGGTGAGGAGGATGGTGGTGGTGAGGATTACGGTGGTGATGATGATGGTGATGTTGATGGTGATAATGGTGAGTGATGAAGATGGTGGTGACGATGACGATGGTGATGATGATATCGATAGTGATGATGACGATGGTGATGATATTGATGGTGATGTTGATGGTGATGATGGTGAGTGATGAAGATGGTGGTGACGATGACGATGGTGATGATGATATCGATAGTGATGATGACGATGGTGATGATATTGATGGCGATGATGGTGATGTGGGTGATGGGGATGATGGTGATGTGGGTGATGGGGATGATGGTGGTGATGATGGTGATGTTGATGGTGGTGATGACGATGGTAATGATATTGATGGCGATGATGGTGATGTTGATGGTGATGATGGTGATGTGGGTGATGGGGATGATGATGGTGATGATGGTGATGTTGATGGTGGTGATGACGATGGTAATGATATTGATGGTGATGATGTTGGTGATGTGGGTGATGGTGATAAAGGTACATCTTGAGATCTTACTCTTCTTTAGCCATCTTCAGGGAGCAGGAAAGTCATGGCGGGCAAGACCTAGCTTAATTTAGCAACACTAAATCAATGAAGAAGGGTGAAAAGATGGAAGTAAGAGTTGTGAGTGGGCCTGCCCCAAGGAGGCAGTCTCTACCTAGCCTTGTTTATCACTGGCTCTCAGAAAGTGGGCGTTGGGAGAGAGGAGGGGAGAATGAGGGCAGATCTGCAGAGCTGGCCCTGGCATTGCCGTCTTCCTAGATCCAGGCGCTTGTTCCTACAGCTGTGTTGCTAGATTCAGCGAGGTACCACTTCCCGACCCGCCGTGCTGCCTCTGCTCCTCAGATTCTCTTGGCTACAACTGGCCGAAGTAGAGCAGGGTCTCAGGGCGGAGATCCAGAGGACGGGAGGTGGGAGAGGCAGAAGCCAGGTACCTGACTCGGCTGACCTGTTCCACATCCTGCAGTAGGAATGGAGGAGAGAGGGAAACAGGCGAGGAGAGAGGTCTGGTCCTGCCTTTCCGGGTACAGTCCCCTGCCTGTCTGTGATTCTGCCCAGTCTTTGTCCTGGTTCTCATCAGTCAGACAAGTAATTTCTACCACGCTGTAGGAGGTGGAAACTAAAAATATCTTGAGGAAACCACTCAGCACCCTGGACAGTAAGTTGGTGGGGAGAACATGTACTTGGAGTCAAGCAGAGCTAGCTCAGCCATTCTTTTTAGCTGTGGACGTGGGTGAACTATTTAATCTCTTTGCATCCTCCTTTATCCGTCAGCACAGCGGGACTAATGCACCCCACAGGGCTGCTGAAGGCTGACTGCTGCAAAGCCCACTGCACACTTCACCGACTTCCTGGGGCAGCCAGAATACGTGATTATAAACTGGGGAGCTTAGAACAACAGAAGCTCGCTCCTCCTCAGCTCTGCAGCCCGGAAGGCTGAAATCCAGGTGTGAGCAGGGCTGTGCTTCCTTCGAAGGCCCTAGAGAAGAACCCCTGCCTCTCCCAGCCCCTGGAAGTTTGTAGCTACTTCACTCCAACCTCTGCTCCGTGGGCATAGGCCTTCTCTGTGTGTGTGTCTGCCTTCGCAGCTCTGTCCTGAGGGCACAGTCATTGGGTTTAGCTGTACCTCCCCCCGCCCCCAGTTCAATATGACTTCATCTTAACGTGATCACTTCTACAAAGACCTGATTTCCCAAAACAGTCACATTCATAGGTTCTGGGGGTTAAGACTTTACCAAATCTTTTCCAGGACACAGTTCAACCCACTACATGTCCCTGGTTCAGAGACTGGCACATTGTTGGTGATCCATTATCATGAATTCTCTTTACCGCCCATTCTTCTTCCTAAAGCTGCAAAAAAAGTATTTGCCTTCTGCACCAGAGCGGCCTTGGAAACAGGTGGCTGACCCAGAGCCCCTTTGTGCTCTTTAGACCCGGAGATTTTGTCTCCTTTCCATCAATATTTTAATGTAACCTCCGTGCAATGCTATTCATATTTATCCAGTCTATTGATTTTCTTTTCTTATCTGGTAGGTGCAGAAATTAGGGTGCGGAGGGCTATTTCCAGCACCGATGGAGAGCTCGCATTTCACTTTGGTGCTAATCAAAATGTAAGGTTTAGAGTCAAGAGGATGGTCCAGCATGGGAACGGAGCTGGGTCTCAGGTAACAGCCTCTGTGGACAGGCCAGTTCATCCAAGGCAAGTCCCATGTGGCATCGGACTTGGATTCAGGTTCCAATAAGCTCTGTACCAAAGTTCCTGTTTCCGACCTAACTTGGCTTTGACTGTGGGAGATCAGGTTGTGGGTCTGTCCGAGAAGTTTACCCTTGACTGCAGTCCACCTTGTGCCCATAGGAACGAGGAATGGGTTAGTTGTGTTCCAACTCCTGAAAAACACCTGTTTTGATGATCTGGAGGCATCTTTGATTCAGCATCTTTAATTCAGCGTAGTGTCACGAGCTGGTTTCTCCAGAAGCAGATGCTGAGGCAGTTTGGGGTCTGATACGTTCCCCAGGGCAGGAGACAGTCAACACAGCAGACCTGAGACCGCATCCTCAGGAAGACCAGCTCGCAAGGTTGGCCCCGGGCTGGCATCTGGGAACGGGGATTTCAGGAGGGCTGCCACCACCCCCCAAACTGACAGGAGTGGCTCACTGCACCCAAACTTTTTATTAACAATGTATTTAATGGGGAACATCTGCCTTCCTCCCGGGAGCCTGGAATTTGGGCGCATGCCAGGCAGACGGTGCCTTAGTGGCTATCCCTGAATGCAGACCCTGAGCACTGTCTCTAAAGGGTTTGCTGGTGGACAGCATTTCCCGTGCGTGTCACCCTCTTGCCCGGGGAGTGGAGCATGTCCGGGGTGGCTCCGCTGGCTCTTGGCTGCCATTGGATTTCAGCCCAGGTGCTTTTTCCCTTTGCTGATTTTGCTTGGACCCTTCTTGCTGAAACCAGTCAGCTGTACGACTGTGCTGAGTCCTGTGAGTCCTCTTAGTGAGTCGTCCAACCTGGGGCGGTTGTGGGCTCCCCACCCATCCATTCGGTGATCACCTGTCAAAGGGAGGAGAGGAGGCAGGATTGGGCAGAGGACGGAGTCGAGCCGTGACTGGGCTGACAGAGCCTCACCCGCACCTGGCAGGGAGCTGTGGCGTGAGTGTTGCCTGGCTGACCGGCCCTCATCAGGCTGAAATGAACGGCCGTTGTGCCCCTGCTGTGTGAGCGTCCCGGGGAAGGCACAGTCTCGGGCGAGCTGGCTCTCTGCAGCTGGTGCAGACCATGAGCCTGGAGGTGCACTGACCACACTGCCCATAGCTGGGCACCAGGTCCCTCCTTGAAGGGAGAGCTGGGTGGTGCATCTTCTTATCTACCAAACTTACCCTTCAAAGGATATTTGTTATTATAATCATCTTCTGGTTATACAGGTAATACGTGCCCACTGTAGAGATCTTAGAAGACAGAGACATAAAGAGAAAACTCATTGAGTCATCACACTCAACACAGCTCTGGGGGTTTTCTTCATAGGTACATATGTGTATGTGGGCATGCATATTATTTTTATTTTAATGAAATCGGGATTATACTGTGTATATGGTTTTGTATCTTCTTTAAAAATGTTACATTAGGATATAAGCATTTTAAATATTATTAAAAATTCAACACGCAACAGTCAGTTGCTTTTCTATCCACTAACAATGAACAATACAAAAAGGGAATTACAAGAACTATGTCATTTACTATAGCATCAGAGAGAACCAGATACTTAGGAATACACTTAACCAAGAGGAGAAAGACGTGCACTCTGAAATCGACAAAGCCCCGCTGAGAGAAACGAAAGGAGACAGCAATGGAAAGCCACCTTTGCACATGGGTTCAAAACATACCACAGAGCTACAATTATCAGAATAGTGTGGTACTGGCATAAAGACAGACATGGACCAATGGATCAGAATCAGAAGCCCAGGAAAAACTTCGCACATGTAGTCACATGATTTTCATCAATAATGACAAGACCCTTCAATGGGGGTCGGGCAGTCCTTTCAACAAATGACGTTGGGGAAACTGGATCTCCACGTGCAAAAGAATGAAGGCGGGCCCTTGCCTTACAGCATGTACAAAAATTAAAATGGATCAAAGGCAAATGTAAGATCTAAAACTATACAGTCATAGGAAAAAAACAGGGAAAACTTCATGACATTGGATGGGCAGTGATATCTTGGATATAACACACAAAACACAGGCAACAAGAGAGAAAACAGCTGGATTGGACTTCTCCCAAGGGAACCAGCGAGTAGGTGGCCAGCTGGGTCCAAACCCAGTCGGTCTCACTGCCTTCACCCTGCTTCTGCTATAAGTAAGGTGTAACTCAACTCGAAAGATGTGAAGTGTGACCACAGGAAAATCCCTGTCATTCTCTTGTCCCCACAGGTTCTACCAAACCATGGACTTCATGCAGCCGGCTTCTTCGTGGCCTTCATCTGTGGCCTTGTGCTGAGCTGGGTCACGCTTTTCTTCGTAGTTCGATATCAGTGTTTGAAGGGAAGCACGTTCACCAGACATCGGGTGAGTCCCCACTCACATCTTCTTCCCGAGGGGGTTTGGTTGGTGATGGATGTGAAGCAGAAGTTTATCCTTCAGTTCAGTGGGTCTCAACCCTGGATGGACATCAGAATCCCCTGGGAAACTGTGGACACATGCCCATGTCCAGGTCCACCCGCAGAGACTCTGACTGGATTGTCCCCTGATGTGTCCCTATCATTAGTCATTTTAAAAAGCTCCCTGGATGATTCTAGCAGATGGCCAGTGTTGAGAACCCCTGCAGTCTAGCTGAATAGCCAAGTGCCCACCTGTGTGGCCAGCTTCGCAGTCTTGCCACACCCTAATTGAGGTTCGGTTCCACCTCCCTGCTTGAAGTGCCTCGGAGACTCACTTCATCCTCGGGAAGCCTGGACTCCCTAGCATGGCTAATAAAGCCCCCAGGATCCTGCCCGTGCCCATGTCTGCTGCCACTTTCTGCCCCACACCAGAGCATCCCCTCCACCCGATGATTTGGCATTCTCTCTGAGCTCTCCACGCTCACCCCAGAAGCTTCTTCAGTCCTCTCTGTTCTTCATTGAGCATAATTGACTTATCCTTCAAGACTCCGCTCAGGCCTTGTCTGTCCCTGGAAGTCATCACTGGCTACTTTCTGGCTGAGGTATGGGCTTCTCTCTGGGTTCCTACGCTAGGTTCTGTGGACCCACACAGCACTTTTCCTAATCTGTTGGGCCTCTCTGTGAATTCCTCAATCTCCATATTCCTGTCTTGGTCTGGGTTCCCCCAGAAGCACATCCTGAGACCAGTATCCAAATGCAGGTAGTTTAGATGGGAAGTGACCCCAGGGAATAATGGTGAGGGCTGGGGGAGTGAGGCAGGAAAAGAAGGCAGCCAATCAAATTAACTCCTGTGGGCACCTGGAGCTTTATTCTGCTCGGGAATTCTGGGGACAGTAAAATGAACCACAGAGTCATCCACCTGAACAGAGAAGGAGCTGAGGTATTTATTCACCAAGTCTCATTGGTTATTGATTGAGGACAAGGTGGGGGCATGATGAAAGGTGACATTTCCCAGGCATGGGCTCTGAAGACAAGCAAAAGCTTTCAGAGAAGGAAGTGTAGGTGTTGGCTGATGGATCTTAGACTGATGGGCACTGAAGTGGCAAGGGTATAGGGAATGGGCAGAAAACAGATAGTATCTGCAACAGTCTCCATTGCCTAGTACAGTGCCTGGTGCTTAGAAGACACTCAATACATGTGTGAAGGAATGAATGAGACCTTGGCCAATCAATCACTTTTTTCTTAGAATTCTATATTCTGATCAGAAAGCTGCCAGGTCCTTGATGTTGAAGTCCATCTGCCAACTGTAACTTTCCTCTGCACGGTGATAGTGATGGTGATGGTGGGGTGGTGGTGGTGGTGATGCTGGTGGAATGATGGTAGTAATGAGGGTGATGAGGGTGATGATGATGGTAATGATGGTGATACTGATGATGATAGTGGTGAAGATGGTTAGGATGGTGATGATGATGATGATGATGATGATGGTGATGATGTTGGTGGTGAAGCTGGTGGAATGATGGTGATGATGAGGGTGATGATGATGATGGTAATGATGATGGTGATACTGATGATAATGGTGGTGAAGATGGTTGGGATGGTGGTGATGATAATGGTGATGGTGGTGATGATGTTGGTGATGATGGTGGTAATGAGGGTGATGATGGTAATGATGATGATGGTGGTAAAGATAGTTGGGATGGTGGTAATGATGATGATGATGATGGTGATGGTGGTGATGATGTTGGTGGTGATGCTGGTGGAATGATGGTGATAATGAGGGTGATGATGGTAATGATGATGGTGCTACTGATGATAATGATGGTAGTGAAGATGGTTGGGATGGTGGTGATGATAATGGTGATGGTGGTGATGATGGTGGTAATGAGGGTGATGATGGTAATGATGATGATGATGGAGGTAAAGATAGTTGGGATGGTGGTGATGATGATGATGATGGTGATGGTGGTGATGATGTTGGTGATGATGGTGGTAATGAGGGTGATGATGGTAATGATGATGATGATGGTGGTGAAGATGGTTGGGATGGTGGTAATGATGATGATGATGATGGTGGTGGTGATGCTGGTGGTATTTGGAAAAGCAGGACAACAGCTCATCGACTAGGATGAGCTCTTTGGGACTGCTACCAGAAGGCACTGCTGGGAGTCAGCATTTCTTCAGGGCCATGGAGGGCTGGAGCTGCTGTGACTGTCACCCAGAGGCCCAACAACTTGGAAGAACATTTGTCATCTTTATCCCTCTTTATATTGGGGAAACGGAGGCCCATGAAGTTAAACAACTTGCTTCAAGTGGCTAAGCGTAGGCTGGGACCTGGCTTCTGGGGGGGCCCCTCTCTCTGGAGGCTGGAAGACCTGTCCCCTTGTTCGTTTTGTTTCTACTTCCTGGAGGAGAGAATTGTCATTTCAGTGTGAAGTCAGCCCAGAATCTTTTTGGCAGGCAGAAGTGAGGAGAAGAAAAATGGCCGTGTAATCAGACATCCTACTTGCTCTCTCAAAGCTGTCATCAATCTCAGAAGAACAAAACTCACCCTTCACTTTGATGAAGGAGCAGGATTCATCTCCTGGAGATTAAAGGCTAATCATTACAACTGCGGGGAGGGAAGCAAAAGTGTGAATTTGATTTGAGGTTGAAAAACCTTGCAGTGTTTTTTTTCCTGCATCACAGAATGAAATCTTTTCACATTTTTCTTTATTTTTGCCAGCATGGGGTTAGATTAACTTGGGATCGAATACCCACCTGGCTCTTTGTGATCGGTGTGAATGTACACAATGTTACTTTACCTCTCTGAGCTGCAGGGACCTTATTTGTAAAGTGGAAACAACCACACTTTATTGTGTTGTGACGGTTTCATGATATAACACATATAAGACACAGGGGTAGGAACTATTAAATGGTAGCTGTAGTTATCATCCATTTCTGCAGAATTAATATTGGGGACAAAACAGACATGTCATCTGTCCAATCAGAGGTTTAGGCTTAATTATTTCTGATGTCATTTCTATCTTACAATTGTATATTCTGATTAGAAACCTACCAGATTCATGATATTGAAGTCCATATGCCAACTGTAATTTTTTTCTACACAATGATGATGGTGATGATGATGATAATTATGATGGTGGTGATGGTGGTGATGGTGATGGCGATGATGGTGATGATGCTGACAATGATGGTGATGATAGTGATGATGGTGGTGATGATGATGATGGTGATGCTGACAATGATGGTGGGGATGGTGGTGATGGCGATGATGGTGGTGATGCTGACAATGATGGTGATGATAGTGATGATGGTGGTGATGATGATGATGGTGATGCTGACAATGATGGTGGGGATGGTGGTGATGGCGATGATGGTGGTGATGCTGACAATGATGGTGATGATAGTGATGATGGTGGTGATGATGATGATGGTGATGCTGACAATGATGGTGGTGATGGTGGTGATGGTGGTGATGATGATGATGGTGATGCTGACAATGATGGTGGTGATGGTGGTGATGGTGGTGATGGTGATGATGGTGGTGACAATGATGGTGGTGATGGTGACAATGATGGTGGTGATGGTGGTGATGGTGATGATGATTATGGTGATTATGGTGATAATAATGGTGGCAGTGGTGAAATATTTTTATACATCTTTACAGGTTGCAATAGTCTATCCATTCATTGCTTTGTTTTATCCACATAACTCTGTGCAGAGTTACTGGAATTATGACCCCATCTCTTTGATGAGAAAATAGAGGCTCCGGGAAGTGCAGTGTCTTGCTCACAAGTGGTGAGGCCAGCCAGGTTCTCTGACTGCGGACACCCCCCCTAATAATTTCCCAGCACGTGACATTCACAAGAAGGCCTACTCAGTTTTTGTGAAATTCTCCCGAAGGTTCAGCATCACGAGAGCAAGCTGGAGCACTCGCAGGTCACGTCCGCCGACGGTGTGAATGAACAGCTCGCCCTGAGTGACCAGATGGTAGACGTTCTGTCCTCGGAGGACCCCGGGAGCATGCGGCAGGCCTTGGAAGAGTAAGGGTTCTAGTTCACGTTGCACTTTCTCGGGTGTGATGCATGTTCTAACGTCAGCGGCGTGAGAGTGAGCGCTGAGTATGTCATTCGGTCAGCACTCAGTAGTCATAGTCAGACGGTGGCTCTGCACTGCACAGAGCCACCGGCATTCGGGGAGAGAGGTGACTAACACATAGTACGTGCCATGAGACAGTCTGACCTAGTGACCATAGAAGTTTGATGAGCACCAAGCCAGCGGGAAGGTCGGGGCTAGTTGAACCCAGAAGTAATGATCTCTGAGAGGGTCGTGGAAATGCCTCCTCCAGCAGGGGATAGTTTAACTACTTCTTGAAGCAGGGTAGACGCTCTCCAAGTGCATGAAAGGAGAACAGGCTTTGCAGGCAGGGAAGGAAGGCTGTTGCCGGGATAGGAATGGTGAAGTACGGGCTGCGCGGCACGAGGGAGGTGTGGATTGGGGTGTCGAGTGGAGGAACAGAGGAGAATGCAGCTGGAGAGCGAGGCCAGACCAGGCGATGTGCTGTTTGCTGAACCGAATCCAGTTCTTTTTACTTACCTGACAAATAGTACAAAGTCCTGCCTAGTGCAATAGAACAGTCTCAGAACCGGGTCTAAGAACGTTGCAGGTGCTGAGTCAAATCCTCGTGACAGCCTGGGAAGCGGGTAGTGATCACTGTTCCTGCCATCTCACCGAGAACTCGAGAGGCAGCAGGGTGCTTGCCCCGGGCACACGCTGGTAATGAAGGGCCAGGTGTCAGAGCCAGGGTCCGGCGTCAGTCAGCGGCCGCGCTGCCTGCGGTTCCTCCGGGCCGGCGCACGGCTCAGTCTACGGACTGGCCGCCGCTCCATCAGGCTCATCAGCGTGGCCTTTTCTTCTCTCCTCTCAACAGACACTTCCTGACAACTTCCGTCTACGCTTCCTTTTTATCAATTTCCAGCTGTCTGTTAAAATTCTCAGTCTTATCTTTCGTTTCTTCAAACACACAGGGTTTGGCAAAAGTAGGTTTACCGTTGTTCGTGTGAAAAATAATACAATAATTAATATGAATAAGAACCAAGAATAAACTCTAAACTCTTGTGTTTAGCATGCTCACAGCTGTAAACCTACTTTTGCCCCCACCCTACATTAAGCATGATTATTTTAGTCTGTGTCTGAACACTTCATTATTTTTTTTTTATCCTCACCAGAGGGCATTTTTACATTTATCTTCAGATAGAGCAGGAGGGAGAGAGGGAGGGAGAGAGAGAGAGAAACATTGATGTGAGAGAGGTTGCTGCCCACATGACCCCAACTGGGGCCGGGGACAAACTGCAACTGAGGTATGTGTTCTTAGCAGGGATCGAACCCAGGACTCTGGGCCCACACTAACCACTGAGCCAAACCAGCCAGGGCAACACCTTATTATCTTTACCCCTGTTCTGTGCTTACTATCTGTTGGTCCTTGAAGTCTGTGGTCATATTTCCTTGTCTCCTCGTATGCCTAGGTAGTTTTGATTATGTGCTAGACATTGTGTATGACAATTGAGAAGACAGTTGAGGACTAGAAAGAGGTAATCTTTCAGACATCTGTGGGTGTCCTTATGAGTCACCTCAGTTCAACCAGAGATTGAAAGCATTCAGAGCAGGACTCCAGCTCCTTCAGGGGCTAGTCTGTTGGGATACTTTTGCTCATCAGGTTTCTGTATCACCCAAAAGGCTGGAGCGTTTTACCAGGGCAACCTCTCCTTGGAGTCTTTGGGCTCAAGTTTTCACCTCCCGAGTTCTACATGTCTGTTGAACATTCTGATGAGTTTATCAGCCTCGAGGCTGAGTGGCCACCAATATGGGACCCTCTCTGACCTTCCTTGTTCCCTTAGATCTCGACCGCATACATTTTCACTGCCTTATTAGCTCTCAGATGCTCTCCCGCAGATTTTGTTCTTGTCCAGCTTCTCTATAATTCTTTTCAGTAGGATGGTTGGTCCCAATTACTTAGAGTTTCCTCAGTGGGGACAGAATCCTGAAGGCATCTTAGGGTAAACCATACTATAGGTGATGGTCTGTCAGAGGCGGCCAATGGGAGAGAGAGACGTGGAAACAGATGAGGCTCAAAACAGCATAAAGCAACAGAGCCACTGAGCTCGTTGGGTGAGACCCTGGTCCCTGGAGTTAGGTCAGGGTTTTACCCAGGCTGTGATACCACGTGGCCGTGGTTAAGTTACTTCAGTGAAGGTTTAGGGTGCAGAGGAGGGCTCTGGAGGGCAGACTCCACAGTAAGCCCTGGAGACCCAGAGAATGGTTTTAATTTGGGAAGATTTGTGTTTTAGAAGATGACTCTGGATGCAAATGGAGAACGGCTTAGAAGGGAAAATCTGGGAGTCTGTTGTAGGAGGAGATGGTGTGGCCTGGGGCAGGACAGCAGACGTGGGGTGGAGAGGGCTCTGCAGGAGGAGCCCTCAGGACCTGGCCACCTGACTGTGGGTGTGTGCGGAGGGGGGTGATTCGGACGTTGGGGCAGGGGGTCTCAGATGACCCCCCAGGGTTCTGGGTTTTGTTTGTTAGTGTTTTGGTGTTTTGTTGGTTTTGTTGAGTGGAGAGGAGGGAGCTTCCACAGCCCTGGCTGCTCGGTGCGTCCAGAGCTGCAGGAATGTCCAGGCGAGCAGTGAGCCGGGGTCCACCCTCGTGAGTGCACTTGGTGCGAGTCTGGGCAGGGACCGTCGGCAGATCTGTTCACACCAAAGGCACCGCCTGAGCGGATCAGATTCTCATTTGCTTATATCAGAGGTTTTTCTTTCTTTGTTTGCTTTCTTATCATACTGACTTATTAGGAAGGGGGCTACATGGAGTCCCTTAACCTGGGTTCCATTTACAGTAAACTTTCTCTGCTTTCCCCTGGGGAGCAATTTCCATGGATTTGGAGGCCCATAAAATGTAATGCCTTATATTTTTGTATAATACCTTGTATTTGTATAGCAATTAAAAATATACAGTCTCTGGCCCTGGCTGGTGTGCTCAGTGGTTAAAGCATCTGCCCATATACCCAAGGGTTGTGGGTTTGATTTCCGGTCAAGGGCACATACCTGGGTTGCAGGTTTGATCCCCAGCCCCAGTCAGGGTGCATGTGGGAGGCAACCAATAGATGTGTCTCTCTCACATCAAAGTTTTTCTCTCTCTTGTCCTCCTCCTCCTCCCTTCCACTCTCTCTAAAAATCAATGGAAAAATATCCTTGGATGAGGATTAAATACACACACACACACACACACACACACACACACAGTCTCTTCCCCATCCCTTGGTTAATTTGGTCCTCCCACTAATCTCTTTGTCAGGGTATCTTATATTCAGGATTTGACAGTTGAAGAATCTGATGCTCGGTCAGTGCAGAGGTTTATCCATAGTCACATGTCTAGTAAGTGTCAGAACAGGACTTGAGCTTTCTCAGTGTCTGTGTCAAGCACTTTATGGTTCTCTGAGTCTCAGTTTCCTCATCTGCCGACTGGGGAAACCTTAACTACCGCCTCGATACCATCGAGGTGAATGTCGTGGAAGAGACGTGGCGGTGATGAGCCTGATGGTGGTGTTGCCCTGAGCCTGGTCTGATAAAGGGAGAAGAGCAGACACTAGAGAAGCCTTCCAGATGGCCAGGGTTTCCTTCAGGCTTCCTCAGGAGCATGCAGGCAGCGTGAATGGGAAAGCTTGGCAGCAAAGCCGAGCGGCTGTGTTATCCTGTGTCCCTGGAACCTGGAAGCAGTGTCCTGTGGCCATATCCTGTGGCCTTGTCCTGTGCCGTGTCCTGTGACCCTTGTCCTGTGGCTGTGCCCTGTGGCTATGTCCTATGCTCGTGTCCTGAAGCTGTGTCCTGTGACTTTTGTCCTGTGGCTGTGTCCTGTGGCTATGTTCTGTGGCTGTGTCCTGTGGCTGTGTCCTATGGCCGTGTCCTGTGACCTTTGTCCTGTAGCTGTGCCCTGTGGCTATGTCCTGTGGTCATGTCTGAAGCTGTGTCCTGTGGCCGTGTCCTGTGGCTTGTTCTGTGGCTGTGTCCTGTGGCCGTGTCCTGTGACCTTTGTCCTGTAGCTGTGCCCTGTGGCTGTGCCCTGTGGCTATGTCCTGTGGTCATGTCTGAAGCTGTGTCCTGTGGCCGTGTCCTGTGGCTTGTTCTGTGGCTGTGTCCTGTGGCCATTGCCCCGTGGCTGTGTCCTGTGGCTGTGTCCTGTGGTGTGCAGAGATGGACCCGAGATAGAACCAGAAGCAGAGCGTGCTGCCTCCTTGGCCTGAGGGAACAGCTCCCTGTGTCTGACTCAGGGCACTCTGAGCTGAGTGGGTTCTCCGTGGAGGGGACTGTCGTCCTGCTTGAAAGGGTGCTCCTTCCCAGTGCGTTCTCCGCACCTCACCGGGGTCACTCCTGAGTGCAGGGCCGACCTCGCGCTCAGCTGCGAACTGGCCTCGTTAATCCATTTCTGGGCGTCAGGGCTGTGCAGCTCGGCTACTTGAGCTCTGTGAAGCCGCTCAGATACGACCCTTCACTTGCGTTTAATTCCCTAATCAGAAAGCCAAGGGGGACAAGTGAAACTGTGCCACACTGCCCAGGAGGGAGGAGGGTGGCGGATGATGGGCAGCGGGGAGAGGGGTCACCGCCGACGGCTCTGTGAATGTCTCTTGCGCTGTGAAGCGATGCTGTGTATTCAGAGGTCACCTTGGCACAGAGGACCTGAGAAGGGGCGTTTCCTTTGGTTTTCATCGGGCCCCCCCCTGTTGTCCTGAGGAGGTGGCTCAGCCCCAGGCATGCTGGGTCAGGGTGGGCCCCTCCCCTGTTGTCCTGAGGAGGTGGCTCAGCCCCAGGCATGCTGGGTCGGGGTGGGGGGTGGGCCCCTCCCCTGTTGTCCTGAGGAGGTGGCTCAGCCCCAGGCATGCTGGGTCGGGGTGGGGGTGGGAACTGGGCGCCACTGGCTGGTCCCTGGTGTGTTAGCTCTGGCCTCGCTCCCGCCCGACCGCTGCCAGCACCTCCTGCCCACAGTCTTATTT